TTTTTAAGAGTTCCTTTCTTACCTTTTCACTAGCTGCACCAGCATCTTCAAGATCTGAAACTCTGTCTTCACATTCACTTAAACGGTTTTGCAAACTTGTGATTCAGATTTTAATTTCCTCTATATCTCTTTGACTCTGCTTCATGTGATCTATTTCTTTCCCGTATTGCCCATTCAAGGAATCTGACATTTTTCTAATCTCCTCTATTTTTTTTTTTATCAATATCTTCTTTAGAAGCAGTTATAGATTCTTTTACTGCAGTGTTTTTTTCACATTGGGTTTCCTGCCTATGTTTCTGTAGTTGCTTCTTTACTTTATCTGCTATGAATTCTGAGAGTTCTTTTTTTTATTTCAGAAAAGAATTGCGCTCTGATTTCCTCTCTATGTTTCTGCTGTTGCTTATTTACTATCAACGCTATTAATTCATGCATTTGAGTCGAGCTAGTGTTCTCCGCACTTGTTCTGGGCGGGCAGTGGGTTTTTTCCATATGTTTCTGCATTTGATTCTTTAGTGCAGATGTTATTAATTCAAGGATTTCTTTTTTTATTTCCAATCTAAGTTCCTCTATACATTTCTGCAGCTGTTTCTTTATTTCAGAAGCCGTTGATTCATTGCTTTCAGCTGTGTGATTCCTAATTTTTTCTGTGTTAGTGTATTCTGCACTTGTTTCGGGTGGGCTTGGGTTCTGAGGCTGCATTTTGTTCCTTCTCATCATTTTGTGTAGCACTGTCTTCTGACCTTTTATTTTTTTTAAAAGCTTTTTTTTAAAAATTTTATTTATTTATTTGTGTGTGTGTGTGTGTGTGTGTGTGGCCAGTTCAGCCCACCAGGGGGTGGGGCTGGCTGGCATGTGGTGCTGGGGTATTGAACCATGGTCCCTGTGCTTTGCTAAGCTTGTTCCAAGTAGGTGCTTTAGACCACTGAGCCATCTCACCAGCCCCTGTCTTCTGACCTTTGTTGTAGATCTTTGTTGTAGTTATAACTTTCGCACATACTGAAGGTCAGGTGCAGCTCTACAAAGTTTGGATTTATCCCTTTGTGCCTGGCTTGGGTTTGGCTGCTGTGCTCAGCTCCTTCCCTCTGCTGCCCTTGGGGGTGAACCTGTTGTGCCCCTGTGGGAAGATGTTCTGCTCCTGGACTAACTGAGTGGTTCTATCCTCTACACTCTCTGCAGAGATTGCAGCTTCAGGGTTGCACCCCGGGCATGTATGCCAGGCCTGAGCTGTGCCTGGAGGGGGCAAGGTGGAATAGGGGGGAGAGGAAGCTCTCCCACACACTCACTGGGTCTTTGCTAGGACTGGGTCTGAGGGTTCCCAGAATGCGGCAGAAATTCCTACTCGGTGGGTGGGTTGGGGGAGGTGCTGCAGAGTGATGGGGTGCGTCCCAAGGGGGTGGAAGACTGTCTCACCCACGTTGCGCCTGGGCTGGGACCCAGAGTTGGTCCCGCCGGCACAGGGTAGTGGGAGGCTCTCCCACACACTCATAGGACCTGGCCTAGGACTGGGTCTGGGGGTTCCTGGAAAGTGCCAGAAATTCCTACTCAGCGGGCGGGTTGGGGGAGGTGCTGCGGAGTGGTGAGGGGCATCCGAAAGGGGTGGGAGAGGGTCGCGCCCACCCTGCCTCTGGGCTGGGACCGGAATTTGGTCCCGCAGGCGCAGGGTAGCAGGAAGCTCTCCCACACACTCACCGGACCTGGGCTAGGACTGGGTCTCTTAAAATCTTAATATCATTCATTGTAAGATAATTTGGAAGGAAAGGGAGTTGAAGTCAACTGATTGCAGAATCATTTGCTGTTTTAGGCCCCTAAGCTTTTATATCCAATACAGCGATGTCATCAGGGAAAATCACAACCCCTGGTAGTTCTGATTAGTTAAATTCTTCAGCTATTGACTTCCAGGGAAACACTCTTCGGAAATAGTGATTTCCAAATGGTAACCCAAACACCTTCCAATTCATTCTTTTTTTTTTTTTTTTTTTGGTGGAACCGGGGATTGAACTCAGGCCCTGAGCTTGCCAGGGAAGCACTTATTCCACTGAGCCATCTCCCCGGCCCAATTCATTCTTAACTGTACACCATCCATAATTGAACATTAGCATTCTCATATTAATATCACTATTATTTTCAGAAATTAGAGTTTATTAATTTTTTTAGACTTTATTTTTGAAATTAAGATTGATCTTTCACCTAAAATGTACAAGCTTTCACATTCATCTGAGGGGAAAGGGGAAGGGAAGTGTATGAAATAACCAGCTATGTTATGTACATGCACCTGCTCCCCATGACGAGTGCAATTATTACAAACACTTGCCAATAAAAAGTATTTTTTAATGTATAACCTGGGGTTTGGAACCTTGGGGTTTACTTTTTACTTTAGGAGTTCCTAGTTAATTTAGATAGTCTTAATGCAATTAGTATTTTTATATGATTGATATTAGATTGTCATATCTCATTCACAGGGATATGAGCCTATATAGTTCATATGCTTAACAATAACTTTAACAACAGTATTTACTGCATTGCCTGGAGCCCTTTCACCCCAAATTATGATATCTGAAACATGTAACTTCAATATTATTGAGTTTCAAATGTTTCTCTATAATTTATATAAGGGATAATTAAAAAATGGTAAATGTTTATATTTTAAAAGATTTATTACAGTAGAACACACATTGCCATTAATCCCCTTCAAATACTCCCCTTCTTCAAATACACTTTGCTGTTTTCTTTTCTTTTCTTTCTTTCTTTCTTTCTTTCTTTCTTTCTTTCTTTCTTTCTTTCTTCTTTCAATACAGGGTCTCGCTATGCAGTTCAGACTCTTAGTGAACCTCCAGCTTCAGCCTCCCCAGTGATAAGACTATAGGCATGCACCACCACACACCCAGTTTCAGGCCCAGCACTGCAAGCCCCAGGATTCTTGGTCAAAATGGCACACATACCAAGATCAAACTCGGATCTTTGTGCTTGCCACCCAGGTGCCAATTCCACCAACATGTGATAAAAAAAAAAATACAGTGAATACTGCTACCAAATGTCATCCAATAGAAAGATTGCCTTGTGAAAACATGGCATACCCTCATCCTCCTTATTTAGGAGATCTGGCACTTTCCAAGTGCTGGGTCTTTCTAAAAGTCAAAATGATGGTGAAAGATTCACATCTTGAATGGATGCAGGACATCCAGACAGCCATGACAGTACACATAAAGATAAAAAGCCACTTCAGAAAGTAGCAAGGATGGGATGAGTGAGTTCAAAGCAAGAGAGATTATTCTGAGGGAGTGCAATTGCAATGCAGCTTTTATTGTAATATTTTTAAATTTAAAAACACCGTAATTTCTATCATCTCTCATATATTAAGTTGAATATTTTCTTTTTCAACATATTCTCCTGCTCACACACATTCATCTCAAATGCGATGCCACTAATCATCAAGCATGGGTACAACTGCAATGCTGGACTTCTAAGTCTCAGTCACTATTCTCTGACCAAGCAGGTTCGTGCCACCGCGAGCAAGCGAGCGGTAACCAAAGAGGAGATGGATGCACTTTGCATCTCCCCTTGGATGACTGCTTTCTAGCCAGTAACCCTCATTTTAAAATCTACACTTATGGGGCTGGGGAGATGGATTAGTGGAGTAAGTGCTTTCCTGGCAAGCGGAAGGGCCTGAGTTCAATCCC